AACATTTCTGATAGTGGAGACGGTTTCAGTACATGTACTAATGTAACCCAGTACTGAGGATGTGTATTGGTCAAGATCAAGCAAACCTCCATTTTCAGCAGCTTCTCTGAAAACCTGCCAGTCTGTAGCAGACATGCAGAGGATTGTTGAAAAAGGTTCTCTGCCTACCTTTGTAATGATTTTGCGAACACTTCTGACTGTGGATTGATCCTTGGTGTGAAAACACTTTAACAAAGGCAACCCTCTCCTCTTTGGGCCTGGAAACCGGGCGGGATCACCAGTTTATCACTGTTCGACCATGGCGTTCGAAGTCTGCTCGTTCTTCCCAGGTGGAGAAGAGACTCGCGCCAACATCAATAACGGCAGAAAAGAAGAAAGTTTTAACATTTAATTTCTGTTAAGGCAGATAAAAGGTACAAGTAATCAGCGCTGAGACTCCGTCCGTCCCGCCGCGAACCAGAAACAAAGAGCAGAATTCTGTGTGGCTTCCTTCAACTCTAGACTCCTCCCCTTAAAGGGGACTTGAGTTTGGCCTCTTCGTGTATCAGTTATTTATGTGTGTACCATTAAGGCCTATATCAGAGTCAGTCAGAGTCAGAGTTTCTTTATTGTCATTCGCACCTCATGTGGTACATGTGGTGGAGCGAAATTATGTACACAAGGTCCCAGTTACATCCAACAATAAAATGTATAAGAAAAACAGTAATAACATCTAAGATATGAACTAAGAAAAACATCAACTAAATATACACTAAGCAGTCATAACATAAAACATTGAACATCAGCACGAACATGAGTCTGTGAGCAGATGTGCACGCATGAACACATCAACATTGAAACAGATCAGCAGCAACATGAAACAGATCAGCAGCAACATGATATGGTTTTTCACAATGATTATTCTAGTTAGAGATTCATGAGTCTAACAGCCTGAGGGTAGAAGCTGTTCCTCAGTCTAGTGGTTCTACACTTAATGCTCCTCAACCTCCTTCCTGAGGGGAGTGGGGCAAAAAGTGTGTGTGCTGGGTGAGTGGGGTCCTTCATGATGCAGGTGGCCCTCTTCCTGCATCTGGAGGTGTTGATGTCTGTGATGGTGGGGAGGCTGATTCCGACAGATTTCTGTGCAGCCTTCACCACTCTCTGCAAAGCTTTTCTTTCTGCAGCTGTGCAGCCTCCATGCCACACGTTGATGCTGGAGCACAGGATGCTCTCCACTGCACACCTGTAGAAGGAGGTGAGGACTGAGCTTCCCAGACCAGCTCGTCTCAGCCGTCTGAGGAAGTAGAGTCTCTGATGAGCTTTCTTGATCAGGCTGATGGTGTTGTTGCTCCAGCTGAGGTTGTCATTCATGTGTACACCCAAGTACTTGTAGCTGGAGACCACTTCCACCGCAGATCCTCTTATGTTCAGGGGGTTGTAGATGTTTTTGTTCCTTCTGAAGTCCACAATCATCTCCTTTGTCTTCTTCACATTGATGTGAAGGTTATTCTCTTTGCACCAGCTCTCCAGGTGTTCCACCTCTTGCCTGTAGCTGGACTCATCATTGTTTGTGATGCATCCCACCACCGCTGTATCATCTGCAAACTTTACAATGTGACAGCCTGGATGGGTAGCTGCACAATCATACGTGAGCAGAGTAAACAGGAGGGGGCTCAACACACATCCCTGAGGAGAGCCAGTGCTGAGGGTTATGGTGGAGGAGGAGAGGTTGTGGATCCTCACTAACTGTGGTCTGTTTGTTAAAAAGTCTAGTACCCAGTTGCAGATGGAGGGGCTTAGTCCTAGTGTGGATAGTTTGTCCATCAGGGTTTGGGGGATCATGGTGTTGAAGGCGGATGTGAAGTCCACAAAGAGCATACGGACGTAAGAGTTTTTTTTGCTCCAGGTGGTTGAGCGCAGTGTGGACCACAGAGGAGATGGCATCCTCTGTTGATCGGTTCTCACGGTATGCATACTGATGAGGGTCCTCGTTGATGTTGATTGTTGTTTTGATGTGAGTCATGACCAGTTTTTCTAAGCATTTAGCGACTATCGGGGTGAGGGCCACTGGCCGATAGTCATTCAGACCAGTCACTGTAGAGCTTTTTGGGACTGGGATGATAGTGGCAGTCTTCAGGCAGGTGGGAACTGTCTCCAGTGTAAGTGAGGTGTTAAAGATGTCTGCCAGCACCTCACAGAGCTGATCAGCACATTCCTTCAACACTTTTCTGGGGATGTTGTCTGGGCCAGTTGCCTTGTGTGGATTAATCCTCCTGAAGGTACTCCTTACTTCTGCTGAGGTCACGCTGAGATGCTCTTCATCCGGTGGTGAGGTGAGTCTGGTGCTGGGTGGTCTGTTCGGGTCTTCAAAGCGTGCATAGAACTTGTTGAGGGCATCAGGCAGAGATGGGTATTTGGGGCATTGTTCGCTCCTTCCTTTATAATCTGTTGTGCACTTAATGCCCCTCCACATGCTCCGAGGGTCTTGTGAGATGAATTGACCCTCGATCCTCTGTGTGTATGTGGCCTTGGCCCTCTTAATACCAGAAACCAGCTCTTTTCTTGTCTTACTCAGCTCCTCTGAGTTTCCAGACCTGAAGGCAGTGTTCCTGGCTTCCAGCTTCTGATAGTGGAGACGGTGTCAGTACATGTACTAATGTAACCCAGAACTGAGGATGTGTATTGGACAAGATCAAGTGAACCTCCATTTTCAGCAGCTTCTCTGAAAACCTGCCAGTCTGTTCGGTCAAAACAGTCTCTCAGTATGGGGCCACTGTCCTGGATCCAGCATTTAACTTTCTTTTGTACCTGTCTGGAGCGTCTCAGCGGGGGCATGTAAGAAGGAGCCAGGAAGATTGAGATGTGGTCTGACAGTCCTAGGTGGGGGCGGTGTTCGGCTTTGTATGCATCTTTTACGTTCGTGTAAACACGGTCCAGCGTGTGGTCTCCACGTGTTGGAATCGCCACATGTTGATAAAAGCTTGGGAGACAGTCCTTTAGATTCACGTGGTTAAAGTCTCTGGCTATATGGGTATCGGTCAATCTAAGCGTTTTTGGGTGTTTATGTGCAACTGTCCTTGTTTACATGTAACAGTTAAACAAAACCCTCTCCTAATATGCAAATGGCTCCAAGTGGCTGCAGAAATCTGACTGACTTCATGTTTTCTCTAACACTTTTAACTTCATTGGAGGACATATGTAACATTAGACTTCTGTCACATGACGACAGAGTAGGTGGAGTTATGGTTGGAAATTTGAAACCCTGAACAAGAGTCATACATCTGATTACCTGAGGACATTCACTCACACAAACAGTGGCGGCAGGTGGATTTTTCTCCAGGTGGGACTGTAACATGCCCCTTTTCCATTAGTACCGGTACGGGCCGACTGGACCCTACTTGGCCCGGTTCTGAGGCTTTTCCATTAGTACCGGTACTTAGCACCTGTTACTATTTTCAGTACCCTTGGCTCTGTGGTTCTAACCCGAACGAAGAGGTACTAAAACGTGACGTCAGAACACTGTCTGTCACTGATTGGTCGGGGGCGGAGTCGGGGGCGGAGTCACTGGATCCTTCAGAAACTTTTCAAAACAATAATCCGCCATTTGCAATTTCTCGGACTGGAGCAGCGGCTGGACTTATTTTAAAGATTTTAAAAACAATACTGACAACATCTTGGTCTAATGCTGATGTGCTGGCATTTTTTGTGCTTGGTGGCTGACAACATA